CCACCCCTGGACAAAGGGTTTTCCACCGCCACTTCCTTCACAGATTTCCCACCACCTTTCACATGCAGGGGCGTCAGGCTCGACACACCTACCTGACGCAACGAAGCTATGGTGTGTCGAGGGAAGCAGTCAGAGACGGCTGACTGTGTACCTGCACAACTTTTGAACAAGCTGTCACCCTACTTTTCCACTTTTTGATTCATGGTTCTTCATGCTTCCACCCCCAAAACAGGTTTCTCAGCCACTTTCAGCAGCCGCGGTCTCTTGCAGCTTGTCGTCGCAGTCAAGGGAAACAACCTTTGTTCAAACACCTACAATTTCTCGGACTTTTCGCCATACTGTTCCACCGCCATCCTTCCCATCGTGGTAACTGAGTCACTGAATACAAGTGTCAGAGTGTGTGGCTGGAACTTCCAAACCTGATGCCATTCCTTTCTAGCAATGGCCAGCCAACTGTCAAGCCCGAGAAACGCTCACAATGTTTTTGGGATGGTGGGTCAACCTGACGGTGCTGGAGGATTCAGACTGATTGGTGAAAACCAAAGGACTTTATCCGCCATGCACGTGAAAGCCGACAAGCTTCCATGAGTTGCCCAGTTTGTCGTGGGGACATTGCAGTCCCAGACGTTACAAGGTTGCAAAACCGATGGAACCTGGGCGTGGGTGTAGCTGTGATGACGGTTACTATATACTAGGAACAAGGACGCTACTAGGGGCTCCTGGCCTTGCTACTAGGAGCAAGGACGCTACTAGGGGCTCCTGGCATCGCTACTAGGAGCATCCTTACTAGGAACAATAAGCTACTTGAATGTTTTTTATGAAAGACCCTTGATTGGCAGCGGCACTTTTCCCGCCTTCATCGCCCAATCTGATCTCACCTGTGCCTGAGTCCTAGGTCCTAGTAGATGGCACTCAGTACTCCAGACATTTATATAAGAGAAAACGCGAACAATAGCCAATAGCTCACTAATTCACCAATGTACACAATACCATCCAGCTCATCATTGGCCTGTTATATATGTCCTTTTGCTTTGCCAAGTCCTAATGGTTTCAACCTCGCGGCATTGGTTCAAACCCTCTAGAATGGAATCAGGAACCATGCAGAGCTACGGGGTTCAAGCAAACACTCTCCAAGATGTTTGGCACAACATTAATGAAGTTCCTGCTGCAAGATTTCTTTCGTTCGTGGATGATTGCATCCTTTGTTCCCGCGGCCGTAAGGGCCCTTGAGCGCGCACGCGCATGCCGGCGCGTGAGAAACAGTGTGAACCCTGGACCCCCTTTGTTTGTAAGCCTTGTGAACCAGGCTCCTTGGTTGATAACCTAGAAGGTGCGAAGCCCTCTGTTTGCATTGGTAGCGACAACCTTTTGATCCGCTCGTGACGCCATCCCGGTCGCCATGGAATCCAACGAGACGGAGGAGGAGCTCGAGGATGCGACGGAAGGCGAAGAAGAAGAGGCCAACCAGATCCCTGACATAGAGGAGTTCTTGGCCGATGAGGAGCAGCAGGTGGAACCTACACCGACCTCACCTTTGCCTACCTCTTCGCCTTCACCCCAGAGGACACCGACGAAAAGCCATGGAAAGCATGGTCCAAGAAGCGGCTCTTCGGCTGGCAGCGAGGCTTCCCATGCCCGAGCTCTCTCCGGCCGAGACCGCGACAGCAGAGACAGCAAGAGCCCGAGCAAAGACAGCAGCTCGGCTCAGAAGAAGCCACGAGGCAATTTGCCCACTGCGCCATCGTTCAATGGCGACAGAAGAGCCGATCCACGGTGCTTCAAGAAGTATGTCAACAAGGTGGACAGCTACGTGGCCCTGGCTGAGAAGATCATCGACCATGGAGAGATTGGCCTACGCCTTCACGCAGCACTTGAGGGTGAAGCGGCTGACTTTCTGGAGGAGGTTCCTGCTCGGACCTTTGGCGCTCCAGATGGCTGGAAGGTGCTCCTTCGAGTGTTGAGGGACAAGTACGACGAGACCCCCATGCACAAGATGGGCACCGCCATGAAGAGCTTCTTCAACCTCCAGCTGGCCGCCGACAAGAACCTCACCATGCGCGAAGTGGCTGAGCATTTGGACAAAGCGGCAAGACAATGCCGTGAAGCTGGACCTTCCCGATGCGGTGATGATCCATGTCTTCTTCCAGCACACCAATGCCAGCTACGAGAGGCAAGCCAACTTCCTGTTGCGCACTGGTGGCAACTATGATTGGGCCAAGATCAAGAATGCCATCGACGTGCTCTACCCCAACACCATGGTCAAGGTCAGCCCCTCGTCCTCTAAGGGAACTGGCTACCGAGGAAGAGCAGCACACGAGGTACAACATTCCTCCCAATGGACATCGTCAGACTGGACCATCCCCGACCTGCAGGACACCTCCATCTCATGGGATGAGTGGCTTTGCGACAACGACCCCATTGAGATGCTCGCCGAACAGACCTTTGCCGACACCCGTGATGACACCTTCATCCCGGAGCAGCTTGCACGTGACTTGGTGGGTTGCTTCAACACCCATCGAGAGAACAGACAGAAGTTGGCCAAAGCTGTCCAAGCTCGCGGCTACTACGTCCGCGGCAAGGGCAAGGGCAAGGGCGGAGATCGAGGAGCAGGCCGTGGTGGGAAGAAAGGAAATGGCAAGGGCGGTAAGTCCTCAGGCAAGAACCGAGCCCGAGGCGGCCTTTCCTTGCAGGAGCTGAAGGCCAAGACCGCGTGTGCTGAATGCGGCGCCGTTGGCCACTGGAAGGATGAATGCCCCAACCGGAAGTCCAACCTCACGCACCACACTGAGTACCGCCATGACGAACCAGATGAGGCTGAGTGGCAGGACTATGAAGGCCGAGATGAACGCGAATGGGAGTGGGATGATGCCGACTGGGACTTCTGGCACTTCTGGAAGGAGGAAGCACAGAGCTATGTTCCGGAGGCCTCTCGCTCATCGCATGCAGCCAGCAGACCTCTCAAGCCACAGACAGATGAAGAAGCAGCCAACGACCCGGAGACCCTCGCAGAAATCCGGGAGCTCAAGCGCAAGGCTATGCCATCATCTTCGATTGGCCTCAAGACCTCAAGTCCCAAGACGGCGGCGCCCAAACAAGTCAAGCAGGTGCGGAACATCTATGTGGAGCAGAACGCCAAGACCCAGATCGAGACCGAGCACGACTCCAAGGACAGCCTGTTCTCCGATGAGTTCCTGGACACGAGCGGCGCCCTGACGAGGGTGAAGGCCATTTTGACCAACCGCCCGGCCGGGACCACTTTCTCCGGCAGTGAGGCATATGCAGCGATCCGGACCCATGCTGCTAGCTCACCGTCTACTACCTCAGGCGCCTTGGGAGATGGGAAGTCCGTTTGGGACCTTCTGAAAGAGCCTCAACCTGGACCCAATCTCGATGAGTTGAGGCGGAAGCGAGATGTCTTGACGCTGCGCCGCTTGGACTTCGACACCACTTCAACGAGGAGCGCTATGTCTTTGACCCGAAGGCCACCGACAGTGGATCCTGACAAGATCTACCTGACGATTGACACCGCCTGCGAGAACACGGTGATCGGCTCCGTCTACCTGGAAAAGGTGCTTCAGCGACTCGGTGCATTTGGCATCATGCCACTGGCCGACAAGGAGTGCGAACAGTACTGCTTTGGCCCTGGTGCACCAAAGACATCAACGATGAGGCTGTCGGTCCCGTTGGGGATCGATGGACGCCCGATGATTGTGCGCACCTCAGTCATCCAGGAAGACGCTGCAGCTTCCAATCGGGTGCCCTTCCTGGCCGGTCAAGACTGGTTGGTGATGATGAAGGCCGTGATCGACCTAGGCAACAACCGGCTTTCCTTGCCAGCAGCCAGCTGTGAAGTGCCCCTCTACATCGATGTGTCTGGCCACATGGTCATCTGCATCGAGGACTATCCATGTACAGGATGGCCTCCAGGTCTTTCGACCACTTTGGATCAGTACCCTGGAGCCATTTTCAACGTGTCAAACGACACCAACTTCCTGCGCCCCGAGCAGCAGCAAAAGGGCGTGATGCAGTCTGACAAGATGGACCTCAACATGTCCCAGATAGTCATGGACCACAACTATGTGTACGAGCCCAATGATGATGTTTTGAACCCTGGGGTGCATTCACGGGGACCGTGCACCCTTCCCAATGACTACTGGGAGTATATGACCACCTGTGGAGCTGTTGTCCGGCACCATCGGAGGCCTCGGCGACACCTTTTCGACCCGGAAGAACTGGACAGTGGGCCTGGGACTCAAAACCTCCAGCCCACGAGATTGACCATCGTTGCCGGTTCGAAGCCGAGGGAGTACATTTGGGATACTTGGCCAACCCCACCGGATGCTTTGTGTCCACCTTCATTGGAGTGTTGGGTTGGCAAGACATACTTTTTCTTGCAAGGGTTTGACCCCCACAAGATCAAGATCCCTGTCCCCACAGCCGGAACTGCAGTCAAGTTTGATGACGGTGCCGAGTTGCATGTCGCTCCCAACAGTTTGAAGCCCCGTCACAACAAGAAGATTTTGCAGTTTGATTTCAACAGCCGTCCACCGATTTTCGAGCATGAGAGCACGATCCACAAGGATTCCTTTCGTATTCCTGAAGGGCAATTTGGATCGAGACTCCAAGCTCCTTCAATTCGTTCTTTGCCTCATGCCTCCAGCAGCATCGACAAGGCCATCCAGCAAGAGGGTCAAGCGCAGCCGGGCGGAATGCTTGGAGCTGTGGGCACGCCTTGTCACGAAGATGGACATGCTGTGGAGCATGCTCATGAGGCATCACATCACCAATATCATGGTCCGCGAGTTCAAGCACAGGGCACCAGCATTGATGGGCTACATGGAGGCCATGATCGCTCAGGAACAGTTCCTCCAGCTCCCATCGACTTTGCCACCTTCGACGACGGCAGCTCCGGGCCAGACGGCCAAGGCGATCAAGGCACCCTACCCGGAGAAAGTCAAGCTATGCCCACACGACGTGGAGGCAGCACGTCGGATCGGGAATGCACACGGACGTTTCAGGGAGTGCATTCAGTGCGGACTGGTGATGAAGGCCCTGCCGGACAACTACACGATCCCGATCACCCACGAGGAAGTCATCGTCTATGGCATCACACACGGGGTGAGGGATCGACCAGGCGGAAAAGTGCATCCACAAGCACAAGGAGTGCAGCGGGACACAACGGAGCGCTGCACCAGCTTGGGAGAGTGCTACTCGCTCTCATCGCGACCGCCTTCTGCTACACAGACCCAGCAGCACAGCAGGTCCGCGGGCCAAGCTTCGAGACACTCTTCGAGGATGACATCTTCGGACCAGGCCGAATCCCGCCAGCAGAACGGCTCGGACTGGGAGTTTGCGGGGATGGAGACGGACGACTAGATCCTCTACCTGATCCAGCTCCACTTCGACCTGGCACCAAGAAGAGACTGAAGCACAGCGCAAGACGCGCACTACAGAACAGCCGAACTGCTCGAGAGCTTGTCGCGCAGAAGGTCAGTCGGAGCACTTGGCCCCGACGGAAGTTTGGATATGATCTCATCGAGATCTTCGGCGGCACCTCCATGATCAGCATCAGAGCAGTCCAAGGCTGGAACCTTCGAGTACTTCAGCCCATCGACATCCGCTATGGCATCAACTTGAGACGCAGGATTATGAGGAGATGGTTGCTCCAAAAGCTGCGCCAATGGAACCCACGACTTGCCATTGTCGAGATGCCATGCACACCTTGGTCAATCCTCCAGCGGAATGTCAACTACCGGGACTACCCCTTTGAATCGACCAGCTCCAGGAGGAAGACAGGCCCTTTGTGAGATTGGTCAAGCAGGTCTTCGAGTCACAACGCAGCCGAGGCGGACACGCTTTGGTGGAGAACCCTGCTACTGCTGACTCCTGGCAGGAACCTGAGTTCCAAGAGCTGAGGCAGAAGTACTGGGAGACAACGAGTTGCATGTGTCGTTTTGGCATGGTTGGGCAACACGGACTCCCTCTTCTTAAACGTGTTCGCTGGATGGCCACCGATGAGACCTTTGTGTACTACCTCAACAAGCAGTGCACCGGAGACCACCAGCATGAGAAGGTTGAAGGCAAGAACACTGCCCTCTCAGCTTGCTACCCGCCTGACGTTGGCGACATCATCATCAAGGCCTATTTGGAAGTGGTGCAGCGCGAAGACTTTGGCACGCACTACGACTGGCAGGTCATGGAGACCCGACATGTCAACTATGTCGACGTCAACCGCACGGTGGAAGAGTGGCGGCCTTTGCTCGCCCAAGCTGAAGAGATTTTGGCTCGACGTGTTCAAGCCAGTTGCTTCCTGGACATCACCTCCGACCTCTACCAGAAGGTCATCCCCTTGGTTCCTTGGCAGATCCTCAACATCCAGATCGCCCACTTGCCAAAGGCCAAGAGAGTGAGACCAGGACTGGAGAACACACATCGTTGCTCCGTGTTGCTTCAGAACGACAATGAGGTGTTGATTGAGACGGAACACCTTCCAACTGCACAAGCTCCGAGAGAGCGCTTCATCACACCAGTGCGAGTGGCTATCTTCATACACGGCCACGCACCAGGTGAACCTCATGAACCCGTACCTGCACGTGTTCAACCAGAACCACCTCCTCTTCGAGAAGGAGAAGTTGTTGAAGACCCACTGGATGAGCATGTTGAGCAAGGCATGGCCGAGCATGGGCTTGTGAGGCAAGACTATGCCTCCGGTGAATGTTGGTTCATTGGCCCTCCACTACGACATGAACAACGACGCTTGGCACCTTCATTGGTGAGAATGCACCGCAATCTGGGACACCCCAGAACTGAGGATTTCGTGAGAGCCCTAGCTCAACATGGCAAGATCGACCCGGAAGCAGTGGCACTGGCAAGGAGACTGAGATGTGCTTCTTGTGAAAGGACCAAGAGACCATTGCCACCGCGACCTACTAGTTTGAAGGCCGTGGGCAGCTTCAACGACAAGGTGTGCCTCGACGTGGTCTTTTTGCACGACGCGGACGAGGTCAAGCACACCTACTTGCATGTTTTGGACCCTGCAGGCGGCTTCAATGTCTTCTGTTGGATCCCAAGCCGAAACCCCGAGGACGTCCTGGACAACTTCAACAAGGTCTGGGCTAGTTGGGCTGGCTTGCCAAGATCCATCTGGGCAGATCAAGACGGAGCTTTCCAAGGAGCCTTCGCTCAGACACTCCAAGCTCATGGGGTGGAACTGGACTATGTGCCGGCTGAGGCTCACTGGCAGGCTGGCGAGGTGGAGGCCTACAATCGTGCCTTCCGCTACACCGCCAACAAGATCATTGATGAGAAGCAGTTGGCAGGCGACAGCAGCATGCAACTACTTGGAACTTTGGTGGGCTCAGCCATGAACGACAAGGTCAGAGCTTGTGGAGCCTCCGCAAGTCAATGGGTATTCGGCCGTAACCCCCGGGTACCAGAAGCTCTCCTCGGACCTGACGGTCAACTGGAAGCCTTGCAAGGCATGGAGCAGGACGAGCAGTTGAGACTGAGGACCTACATCCGTTCCAAGGCTGACATGCTCATCAGCCAGTTCAAGGTCGACGACGCACTCCGCAAAGCTGTGCTACGGCAAGGTCGTCCTTCACGTCTGACCTATGAACCTGGAGAACTAGCTGCCTTTTGGCGGCAGGTCAAGAAGAAGAAAGGCAAGATCCTGCAGCCTGGGTGGTTTCGAGGCACCATTGTCGGACCACACAAAGGCGACGAGGCACAATCCAACTACTGGGTGGCATCAGGTGGCAAGCTCATCCTTGTCTCCAAAGAGCAGCTCAGGCCGACCTATGGCACAGAGCGATGGAAGATCGACGAGGAGGCCCTTCAGAACCTCTTGGACGACTTCCCGGACGAGTTCCACAACGGCAGAGATGGAGAACCACCCGATGAAGTTGTGCCTGATGAGAATGAGGAGATCCACGTGCCCGTCTTCGAGGCCGACGCTGATGA